GAGTGGAATCCGAAAGGAAAGTGAAAATCGAAATGAACATTTGAAGCTGCTTGCCACAAATGTCAGGTTCTGCACACCGGAACGCAAGAACCCCAAGAAAATTGTCTGCCACGGTGATATGGCTCCGAAAATCGTTAAAATACACTTCGACAAAAAAAGAAACTAAGGTAGAGAGAAATAATTTTCAATGTTTTTCAATACTTTCCGATAAATACAAACTGTCCTTCTAGAGCAACAGTCCCTCCCCCATCCACCTTTATTCTTTTCTTTACAATAAGGCTTTCAAATAAGTCATGGCTGTACGGCAGTGAAGCATTGGTGTTGAGCACTGATGTCATGCTGTCGTTGATGATGATGATAAACTCCTGCGTTTTGTGCAGTGCGAAATCCGGGAGAACGAATGGAAGGTGTTGCATACGGAATATATGGACCAAACGAGATAGTATCTGGAGGATTCACGGCGAAGTACCGTGAGATGGAACAGCTAAGGGACTGTAGTTTGGAATTTTGTGGTCCTGTATCAATAAATAAGTCTGTTGATTTCCCCTGCAAAGCAGGTTCAAGAGTACGGGACATTCATGACTGGTCTGACATGGGTGTACTGAAGGCCAGGTTAGGCTTCTCAGTGTTTTTAGGACTTTGTTCTATTGAACGGCTGATCTTCGATTTTGGTTGATTGAGATGAGCCTTTTTGGGTTTTGCACTTAGGAGCTGCCACGAAGTATGACAAGTGGGACTTATTTGCAACACACGCAAGCTGGTAGTCAGATTGGTAATTAGTCTAATGACACCTAGTGGTAAACCTGAAAAGGGGTCGACAGGGATGGGATTCGAACCCATGCGGGGAAACCCCAATGAATTAGCAATCCATCGCCTTAACCACTCGGCCACCCCGTCACCTACGCCCGATTACAAAATTGTCATGTGACCAGCCTGTCCTAAAGGTAGGATATACCTCAAAAGTGGCTTGCATATCTAACATTTACTAACACACTGCTTCATTATAAACAAACAGAGCGATCACTTAAGCTGAACAGCAGTCTTAATGGGGTTGCAAAATGTTTTACGCATTAGGAATGGAAGCACTTCTCTTAGTAAGCATGACCGAAATGTGAGCCATCCTATGCGATGAAGTGTTCCCGATGAAGACACATGCCGATCGCCTCAATTACTTGACAATAAGCGTAAACGTGCATATGAATTGGTGCAGTCTAACCTGAAACTCCTCTTCCCCGTCAAGCATTTGCCCTGACATACACTGTAAATGCTACTCATTGTACGGCAGCGAAGCATCGGTGTTGAACACTGGTGTCATGCTGTCGATGATGTTACTCATGATCAGTATGTGATAACAATAAAACTTGTTCAATTGTAGCACCCTTTCGGTATCCAGCTGCCCTGCCACCCAAAGGAAGCACGAAGGCTGAGATACTGCCAGGTTGCCCAAGCCTAGACAGGGGATGTCGAGAGGCGGAGGTCAGGTTCGAACCACGAACCTTCCGGTTAGTAAATTCGCGCCCTAACCACTTGAGTCATCTCGCCCCCGATCACTTTGTACCCATACAATTGCTAGCCAGAATGCCCTCTTCAGAGTAACCTGTCTTTCTCGGGAAGCAAATGCGCTTATTTCTCAACTTCTTTTCACCAACCCTTCGTACTAAATTGATTCACATTTGTATTCAGGCAATAATGTATTTTTCGTACAGCCTGTGCGCCGGAGACCCGAAACACAGTGCAGAATTGACATTTTGGAGTTTGTTCTATTTGTAGCTGTATGTCGAAGTCATTTGCACTGAACCTCAGATATACGTCAGTTTGTTCAATGCCAGCTCTTCATCTCATGGTAATCGACGAGTTCAAGGTATGTTCGTGTGACCGGAATCCCAGGTTTAGGCACGGGGATGTATTGTTCCTTGTGGTGTGTGCTGGTCATTTTATTAATTCGCAAGATACTGTGTGCTGATTCCCGAACGGAGAGAAACTAGTGTTCAAGTAGAGTAAAAGTTCGTTCATAAGTCGACGAATACGCTCATCTGATGACCTCCAAGGAAGGTGGAACAGGTGGTGGGCTGTCAAAGATTTCTGAGCAATCGTACGAATTGTCCGTCCTTCGGCTTCGCAACATAGGCTGACGTTACCAGCAGGATTAAATGTCTACTGCAAGTTCAAAACTCAAGTCTCACAAAAAACTGACCACGTTTTCAGACCACTTGGAACTCGCCTCGTGAGACAACTTGCCAAATTTTACACTATGTCCAGAAATGAGAATTAAGTTAGGACGGATGTACTTTTCGATCTACGTAGTGCAAGATCATGTGACCACGTTTATAAAGGATCGATTCTATTTGCGGAGGATACGTGGTTTTTAACGTTGCACAGAGGAGCGCATGAAGCAATTTTAACATACAATGGGACTACGCTACTCTAACAGATATCATTACAAAATCAAGAGTCATAAGTAGGACCGCTTTCACCCAATCCGCGAAGTTCAGAACTGTGATCTTGACACAATGATGTACATAGGCTGTACATAGGTCGTCCATCCTTATGGATAAAGGGACTTAGCTTCTACTGGCATGTTGACCATGTGGGCAATGGGGTCTCTAAAGTTCCATCATTGTTGACACCTTCACCAATAAGCATTTCAAACGAAAAGTGTTTACAAAATGACCCACCCAAAGGAAACCGTGCGTAGAGTTTCCACTGTATAGAAATTCCACATACAATCACAATGGGGCAGTTGTGATGATTGTGGGAAGAATTTGGACGTATGGGTCAAAAAGCGGATGCGCAGTTTGTTCTTATCCAATAAGAACCTCTCCCTTCTAAAGAAACCAGGCTCCTTCAATACTCCGATCTTTATCATTAGATTGAAGGGTAAAACAATCTTGCTAATTAGATGACGACAAATCTGGAGACAAGTCAATTCACACGAGGGCGAAGCCATCAAAGACAGTCGAAAGGAGAGTGAACTGAGGACTGTGGGGAAGCGTCGAAAAGCACCTAATTCACTTGACGAGATTCCGGGAACGTTTTGGATCTAGGGAACCCAGTGATGTCTCCTGTTGCTCGTTCATCATGCAAATATCGGGTTTCAAGCGGAATCGGAGTAATAATGCAATATGTACTATACTATATATTATATACAACATATATACATAGTATTTGATTTGAGGCACATTCGCTTGTTATACAATCGTCAAAGTTGAATGATCCCTTCGAATAGGGTCACCCCATCACAGATGGAGCCACTTCGGTCAGTACTTTGTTGAACTGCACCAACGCACCCCTTGGAATAGAAACGATTTTCCGACCATTCGGAGTAACAGATATTTGGTGCACTAATCAATCTCTTTTAAAGCAGAGAAGGCGCTACAACACAGGAAGCTAGAATGCACCAACGTTTCGCTGTCAGTCGTAAATCGGGTAGAAAGTTATTACTCAGACTATTGCATGCATTGCGGTTAAGAACATTCTCTGCTGACTTAGGAACTTCACCAGGCAGTTGCAAATCTAAATCTGTGGTGGCTCACACATCTTCTGTCCCTCATCCAACTCAGAATCAGGTGTCCATAGAACGATGTTTGGTTGAACATTCGCATTCACTTTAGGTTATTTGACAGAGCGATTAATTCCACCCCATTTGGCTCATACTTTCCGCGATGATGAGAGAAAATGAACGCGGCTTTCTGACTCACCCGGTTGAAGCTCGATTCAGTTATTTTGCCGAAATCGCATGTCAACTGTGACAAAACCGATGGTAAAACGGGCAATAAACCGACGTTTAGCAACATCCAAGGGGTAACTACAGATGACATTATTAACCAATACATGTACCAGACCTTGATAGCAAACTTTGACTGGCCTATTTTTAACGACTGTGCACAGACTATTAAGGAGGCTTGGAAGGACCTTGTAAGGAAGTCAACCAGGTGCAGATTACTCACACGGTTATATCGAACCGTCTGCCAAGAGTGGAACAATTAGAGTTGGATGCTCTGAGGGAGGGTAAGATGAAGAGGCAAGAATTGCATTTCTTGTGGAATGCTTGACCTAACTGGAGGTATTTGAAAGCTGATTCCAACTCTTGACAGGTCAGGATAGTATATAGTTATCCTCTTAGATGAGACCGAATTCTAGAATAGCATGCATCATCGCAACTAAGACCACTGTTCTGTGTCCATACCTCGTCTCCAGATCATTCTTCACCAACTTTCAGTTATCCCCCGATGTGAACCTGCTTCAGCTGCAGAGCGAAGTATTCTATGTAAACGACCGTAATGAAATGAAATCTTCAAACAAGTTTAATTAATCCGGACACTTCGTGCCTCAGCTTTTGCTTTGAACACGGTAATTAAAAATGGTTTTGTCGGGTTACTCAAATCCAAGAAAGAAATTTGTGCGTCCGTGGTCCGTAAGCGACTTATAAGTTCGCTAAGTAGAATGGCACTTGGTAGACACTTTAAAGGTGAAATTCGCTTATAGCGATGTATTAAGTGAGGATATAGCCAAAAATGGAATAGTTAAAATTGAAAATATGCCTGAACAAGGGGATGAATGCATGCATACGTGAATGAATGGCTAACAGAGTAAACGAATGAAAGAACGAACAAGTAGATAAATAAATGAATGTATATATGAGTGGATGACTGAATGGATGAGCGAATGAATGAATGAATGAATAAATAAATAAATGGGGAAATGTACGAATGAAATGGCAGTCTTGTTAATTCGGCTCGTATATCATAACTAAGTACAGCTGCTTTACCCAAGACACCCCATTCACACGTAGTAAACTGCTAAGGCGAACCACTGTACAAACTATAAAATACACGGTAAAACAGCAACAGGCACGTGATAACCTCTAGCGGTCGATGATCTGCTTTTAAGCAAACTAGTATATTGATCCTGGCGCAGTGGACATTCGAACACAGCTGCTAGGTTGGGTTGAAAGCTGGCGAGTAAAGCTGTCTAGTTGATGGGTAGCCCTAGATGGGATAATGCCAGTTCAGGAACTGGATTCTGGTGTTGCATCCGAAGAAGAGTTTCATTCCTTGGCCGATGTGACATGCAACTGTGAACTGTGTCACGCACGGCTCTATGTTTCCTCCAAACAAAATGTCATAGAGGACAGCCTACTGGATCACTCGGATGCGTTCCATTTGCTGCCATCACCAAAATCTGGTACGCCAAATCCACCCCAGTTCCCCGCACCTATTTTCTATCCATGGTCTTGTCCAATGCCTGTATACACAGACATGTCACCATTCGCATGCGGCAGTTTCAACAAGTGTTTTTGTCCGAATGGGAACAAAATCAATCCGGACATGGCTGGCCATATGAATCCCATATGTGAATTTCCTTGTAGACCAAATGTCGGACTACTGGCGTTTGACCAAGAGGGCGATGTTAGTAGTGCTTGCACAGTACCCCAAGTATACATATCTAAAGATTGTGTGTTGCACATACGGCTTTCGGCCTATGTTTCTTTTGAACGGTCCGTATCAGCCTATCGTCTAATCAACTATCGAAACAATTCTGCGTTGGCATTGAATGAGAGTGGAGAGTACGGATATGCCTACCATTACAATTGTCGTGGTCTCATTAATATGCATCATGGAAAGCTCTCGATAACATTTGACAAAGATCGTCAGGTGCTGCTGCGGACCGAGAAGCCAAGTTTTGTTAAAAAGGAAATGGAATTCTACAGACTGACATCACATCACTGGACCGCGTGTAGGCCAGTGTCGATGGACACGTTTGATCGCGACCGAACCCCGGAAATTTTGAAGAAAATCGGGATTGAAAAATCACTCGATGATGCAAAGTTACGAGAGCTGGTCAGTTCTTCTGCAGTGCACAAAACCGGTTGCGGTCTTGTCAGTAAGTCGTTTGTCTCGGTAGATTTTCTATTAAAAATTAGTATACTTAGGTGACGCAAAAATCGAACAGAAGGTCAACGGGGATGTTGTACTGAGTTGGTTCTACGAAGATAGAGCGAACTCACTCATCGTTTCCCCGTTGTCTGGCAGCTTCAGTCTCTCAACCAAGAACCTGGAAATTATGGCCACCCCTAGGTCCGATATTTACATTGCATTCGGCGATTTCTTCGTCCATGTTGGGTAAGTAGCACCGTGTATCATGGTTGACCATCCAACTGAAGAAACCATTTTATCTTCCAGAAGTCAACAAATGACCGTGAGCAGTGGCGCCGTGGCTGGAAGATGCAATTTCACCAAAAGTCATCCTTGTCTACTGAAGCTGACAAGTACTATCGTGGAAAATCAGGCGGTTGACCTACGTCAGTACTGTGCCTACTCACAGTCAGTGGGGCAAACCGGGCCCACTCCAACTGGCAACCATCATCGACGACAGACCCCAATCACTTCGTCCGCTTTCAGTGGAAATGTCGCAAGCTCGTACTGTTCGATCAGTCAGACGAATCGGAATATCTCTCCTGCTAGTCAAACCTCCGCTTCGGGTGAAACAACGAGCGACAAAAGGAATGACAACACATGTTCAAGCAGTTCCAAAGAAACCCACATCACAAACGTGAAGAGTGAAACCAGTATACTGACAGGTCCTAAATCTGCTCAGCCAACCGAACGTGGGTGACCGAACGAGACAAATTCTCTGTTTAGTTGACACTACGAACGATTGTACACATCCTGCTAGTTAAAGGGTGCCCCTGTATTGCCAAACTTGTGTAATGGCACGCTCGCTAGCGTCCATGGTGCGTAATGAAAATATACAGTTGCGAAAGTTTGGTTTGTCTGTGTTTGATGTTCGACCTTAATAACGGGTAACCATGCCAATATGTTGCCAAAAAACGGGTTTTCACAGTCAACCTTATCCAGAGCTTGATGGAAACCAGTAAGTCCGTTTGAAGAATAAACACCATGAAGATATCCGGCTTCGGTAAGCTACGGGTTGTAGTATGGGTAAATACTGACTTCCGCATAGGGACCCCGAGACGGGCCACATCAATCATCGGTGAACCAAACTGCGGCAGCTACAACCACTGTACACGTACGCGGTTATCCCGGCTGACAATGATTATTATGATGTATAGGGCACACCGCACTAGCTATCAACTTCATACTAAGGTACGACTAGTTGAGAAGGATCACATGATGACCTAGTTTCTTGTATGGAAGAGGAGCATCTACACTTTGTCTTTACAGGTCACAGAGTGTGGTAAAACTAGTCCATGTGGCGTCAAATCAAGAATTACGGTTACTCTAAGACATTACCGAACCAACGAGACCCCACGTGAAACCTCCGCTGTGCGAATATCCCGAAGGAAAGGACATGGGTAATTGTACACAAAGCCGGTTGAGAATGGAGAACTTCAGCCAATCCTGTCGTGACTACAGGCCATGGTAAAGTAAAGTTGGTATCACTATCCCTTTCCACTCATTGTGCAAAGAGAAAAACAGTCTCCTAAGACAGAGAATCCAGGTAATCAGTATTGGTGTAATTAGACGACAGACTCCCGATTTACCCATAGGGGAATAAGGCATGGCGAACGTATATTGGAACCGATGGAGAAAGCGAAAGTAGTAGCAAAACAGTACTGAGTACTGGCAGCCCAGAGGCCGGTGCAAGCAACCCAGTATAGTCGCAGATACGCCAATAGATTTACGGATCGCAATAAACGGATAAGACGGAGGCAGGCTTATGAATACCACCACAGAAGCTGGAAGAACTAGGGCAGATGGTGTAGAGGTATACGTAAACTCATGGAGTAGCTGGTAGCATAAGGAAACGCCGGATCTGGCCAAAACTGTGCCTAAACGGTAAACGTAAAGGCCAGCTTCACTTGTGGACAACGATAAGTGATGTGCGAAACAGGATGAGATCGTCCCTTTTGAATCCGTACCCCCAGAAATACCCTTTGAAGCACCGACAACCCGTAAAATGAAGTGCGTTGCAAGGAGCAGTGGACCAGAGCTGGAGATAGCTCAGCACCATAACTTGCGATGTGTCCAAAGTACGAAAATTCCCGTTAGAATATTGTGAAAATTCAGAGAATTCAGGCTCCGAAGGATCAGCACTGGATCCCGTTATTCGTTCCGCAATGCTGCGACCTCTTTTGGTCGCCCATCAACCACTGATGGAAGATAGGAAGGAAGTTCTATACGGGTCAAAGGACAAATGCGACAAAAGAAACAGGCGAATCTTCGCAAGTAGGTGTCAACAACCACACTTTTTGAGTCATACATAGCGAATGCATTTTCACGAACGAAAATGGATTCGAGTCGTCACTCATCGAAACTTAAAAACATTTGGAAAAATCCCTGTTAGTCCCCTCACACAGCATCACCACGCTGATTTACCAAATCGACAAAGAACGAGGTAAATGTAGCCTGAAATGAGATGAAGAACGCTTGTTGGAGTTGTCGGAGAAGCTGATATTGTCTGCTTATCCAAAAGATAATTTAAAAGCTAAAGCCAGGTTGTGCACCATCCAAAAATTATTACTGTAAAGATGGCCATCGCTGTCAGTTAGGAGTACACGTCGTGTGAATTAAAACAACAGAGACAATGCTGTATTGGTGTCAACTACCGAAAAATAGGTGGTACTAAGTGCGGTACAGTAATTTCCAAAAAAGCTCTCTTTCGAATGAAGGAAACCCCCCACCCCAAGAGTTCATTGTAAATGTTCACCGCCAGATTTCTAAAGAACTGACAAGACCACTGTCCATTTCCCTAGACAGTCTGCTGATTAAGTGACACTTCATATGGCCACCAAGCTTGCAAAGATTTTGTTACCATGTGACAAGACACCGTCAGCGCGGAGTTGGTTGGGCACGTCCTGCACTTTCGCTCACTTCTATAGATTGTTTAAGAGACTACTCAATATAAGTAATATGGGTTGTTTAGGGAATGTCTGTTACGTAATTTCATTAACCAATGGTGTTACATTGTGGCCTGATTATCTCAAATGTGGTTGGTCAGCTGAGTACCCACATTCCTGTGGCTGTACTTCATTACTCCGATTGGTTCGTTGTGCCTTACCTGTGTGCTGTGTTCATGTCAGTCTATGGTTTGATTTGCCGATTGGTTACGTTCGGTTTGTTGTCCTAGATCCTGACCTGTCCACAAAGTACCTTGTTGGTTGACGCAGTTTGCATTGTCTGCTGGGTCTCGTAGTCCAAACAGTTTCTTGTTTGCCCAACGTAGTGTTTCCCGCCGTCCTTTTTTGGATACTGTACACAGAATTGCTTCTCTTGACCTGTCGATATTCAGGCCATCGAGTGATTCATGCAGTTTGTTTAGGAGCAACAGCCGTACCGTTGGAAGTTGAATACATTCAGCACGACAAACGTCGACTACTTCGAGGAGATAATCCCTTGGAGTTTACGCGAGCTTCTGTGTAATGTTTACACGGCCTAGCATAGTGATAGTATACCCCATGAGTTATTACCGAAGAGTCCAAAATGTTCTTCTCTCGGTGGTCATCTCCATCCTATAGGACTACCTTAGCTGTCATCAAGCTCAGAGAAGTATTGGTAGGTTTCAGCGAATCCTCATTGTCAGTTATAAATAGTATTACGTGAACCATAGCGAACGCTTCGTTTCCGTGGACGTTTTTAAACTTTGATTATTCGTCATCTACTTTCTTGAACAGATTAATTTTTGAATGACTAAATCGGGAGCTGTCTAGCCAAAAGTAGCATAGTCAACCAAACATTCATTTATTTCTGTTCACCTGTTCACGAGGACGGACCACGGGGAGAAGCAACACGGGAGCTGTGGATGATATGCGTCACTCTCTTCTAGCGAGATGGCGAGAGCACGAATTTACTGACAGAAAGGTCCGTGGTTCGAACCCGGCCTCTGCCTCTCGACTTCGCCTGTCTAAGCTTGAACAACCTGACAGTATCCCAGCCCTCGTGCAACCTTTGGGTGGCATGGCAGTTAGACACCGAAAGGGTGCTACAGCTGAACGATTTTTACTCCCTTCTAAACACCATCGCACTTTTCCGAAACGGACAATAAGAAACACCTCTTTCGAAACGAAGTTGATTACTCTGTATATATTAGGATTCATCCAATCGGACGAAGCAATGATGAAGTACTAATTGTAGCTCACATTATTTCTACTTATTGATTCTGAATAGTCTTCGAGCCATTGGAAATAAACCGCCTCGAGATAGAAAAGTGAAGTCGCGGGAAATGACCGTTTGCAACACGTACACGGTACGACTTATGTTGTAGACCGCTAACTCAAATACGCAAATGACCTCAAGTGCGACTCTCTGGCTCAAAGTTAGCCTTCATATTGTCGTGCACTATCTCGTGACTTCGAAAATGCAGACGGAGAAAATCGATAAACATACTCCTATTAATTCTAGAGCTACCAGGGAAAGTCTCTGCTCCCAATCCCATACAGGTATAGAACAAATCTGGCCAAGACCCGAATTAGGCTTTTACAATTATTCAGTAATGATGTTGACAGTGGAGGTTTTTAAACCCCTGAAAAAAGAAACCGTTCGGTCACTTAAATACTTGGTTGATGACATAGGGGAAAAACAGCATCGAAAATTCCTTCAAACTTTCATCACGATAGTCTAATTGTGCTCCGAACATCTTCGACCGACATAAACCGATTTAACGTTTCAGTAGGGCTGTGATGATATTAAGATATTGCTCTAAATTCTCGTGAAAATGGACATCAGCGCGCAGGCTAGGGTTCAGCTAAAGTTTACTACTATTCAACAACGCAAATCTACCCCGAAAAGAATTCAGTGACCCGGCGTTCGGTGATGGGAGAGAAGTGAGACCATATCACTATCATCCTGGAGGGTATGGGGCAAACTGGAACAACTGAGTGGGAATTACTCGAAGCGTGAAGATAAAACAGACGGTGGCGGCTGGTGGTCAAATGCCTTGTGGTTCTGGAAACGAAAGATCATGGAAGAGATGCCTACTCACTCAAACAGTATTAGTATAAACATAACTGGGCATCGCCCTGGAGGACAACAGCGGAGTCCACTCAGAATTATTACGAATATAACTCAGTACAAGCCTACACGCGACTGCAAATAGGCTGTTGAAAAGTGTGGCCAAAAGGTAGCAGTATGTACTCGCTTTAGATATGCTAAGTGCTATACCCTACCATGGACGGAGGGAATCAAGGGTATTCCGGTCACGGTAAAGCAGCGCTCAGTAGTCACTTTCGCTGAACATTTAGAAGTTACAGTCTAGCTCTGAGTCGGTTAGGGTTGGTATCCAACTGACTGAAGTATTCAATATAGCGACTACGTGGCCAAAGAATACGATTGAGTGAATGGAAGAAAACCATGATATTCAAAGTAAATCTATAGAATATACAACAAAATACCGGAAAGTAAGCGGTAGTCTGCTAACAAAAAAGTAGAAAATAATCAATAAACAATTTTCATACTATCACTTCACTCCCTGATGATCTTCAATTCCGGGAACGGTAACTTCACCATCTTGAGAGTCGTAGCGTTGTCGAAGAGTACGGTATTTCCGTAAGGCATATAAAGCCTCAAGCTCTTTAGCCACGTACTCACCGAACTGTATGAGTCGACGAATTTCATCTGGATCACTCACATCCCGGTTCTTCCAAAAGGCGTTGTGTAAACGTTTTCGGAAATATTCTGCGCCTTTAGGGTATTCGCGTCCTAGGTATAGGAGCTGAATGAATGGGGTAGAACATCAATGAAAGTGACTAAACTGATAACAGGTCGGAAAGTGGCACAGGTGAAAATTTGGATTAGTACGGTTGTCATAACCACCAAAAGTACAATTCCAAGTTTGCATTCATCTGGGACATATAGTCTACACACGGTAAAGATGCCCCTACGTCCAGAGTGACACGAAGAATATCGCTATTTATTTAGACAACTGCGTTCTACATTGGTTGACCTTGAATTATGGATGTTCTCAGTAAACCTTTGTACCAACACGACTCCCGACGTGCTTCTCTACGGCAACAACTGACTGTTTCAAATCCACGGATCATCCTCCAAGAATAGTCAATTTTATTGCTTAAAAACCATGTGGCGAAGATAAGGTGGTCACTGTAAAATGAGAGGGCGGGATGCATGGTCAAGCAGTAGAGAGGATAGCATGATCAGTTAGACTGTATTGAATCAGTTTGGTTACTTGATGAAACGGGAAACTGAGCGGCTACGCGGTTAAGGCGTCACTTTCACTCAGCTCTGCGACACATGGTCCTCTGGCTTGGGAAGGGCCTGTTCGAACCAGCGTAGCCATGGAGCCTGCGCAGCTCATCCATCGCTGGAGGGTTCCTTCTACCTGAAATTACCTGGCGTACCTCGGCACCGCTAAACGGATTTCCCATCAAACATGACAAGTGCTTCAGAGACACTGACCGCACACACTCTGTGCTTAGAGGACACGTTTCTGATCCACAAAGCGGTATGGATAGCACCGCAGCAGTGTACCCTGTGGCCTTGACGGATAAAATGGTATCAGGTAGAGATTGTGAACGCCAGAGGTTGGCAGCAATAAGATCAGCTGATCTCAACGATACTTGTTGAGCATACTTTCGAAAGACGCCTGACTTTTCATTATCGCTTATTACTTTGTACTTTCATGTCATTGTGCTTTTCGTGCACCTTGCAACTTCAGGGTTTATCGCAAACCAGACCAAGTAGTTGGGCTTTAGCAACCCTCAATCACAAGGCTGCCATGCAGCCGGAGGCAAGAAGAGTGAGAAATCCTGATGAGCGGATGAGTGGATTCAACATGCGGACCATCCGATTAAAAATTCGTACCACAATCCTTAACACGTCTCGCACCGTGCGGCCGATGGCTATCGGTTGACGAGTACTGTTGAGTATCAGCATAACATAGATGCTTATCCCATCCACAGAGCACAATGACTACCAACGGAACTAACCATAGGGAGTTCATGGTATCAAAATCAAGCAGCGGTGGGAATTTAGACATACTGCCACCACATACGGACTGTACGATCGATGCCGCTTGAATCTGTCACACTCGGTCAGACCAACAAATAGTAACTTAGCGATGTTTTGTAATGCGAAGCACTGAAGAATTACAAAAACTTAAAGCTAAATGTAAAAGCGGCGGCGAAGTGAGCAAACTGATATATAAGTAAAAAGTTGGCTACATAAAAAAGAATTGGCCTCTGAAGAAAAATCTACAAAACGATGAAGCCATGGTTAACTGCTTTACTTCTGTGTCGGATGGAGACGACTCAGTGGTGGTTAGTTCACGATCTAACAACGCAGCATGAAAGACCTCGCCAGTCAATTCAGTCCTGCTGGTAAACGCCGTTTTCCCGGATGGGAAACTACAGCCACACCATCCATCGCTTCATCTACCCCGACGCTTATCCTTTACCAGGACTGGACCAAACTACTGAAATCATCACACGCCATACCGTCTACAGTACACTGGATCTCCAGGGTGCTGAGATAAGTCGTTCACTGCATTCGAAGCCGCCGGGAACCTATACCAGTTTCAACGCATTACCTTAGGATTGACAAAGGGGGTCACGTGTTTTCGACGAACGTTAAACAATATTGTCGGAGCCGAGCAGGTGAAAGACATTCGCCTACATTGATAAAGTGACTGTATGCGGTAAAACGAGAGATGAACAGGACCTTAACCTTAAGAATTTTCTCAATGTCGCTAAGACATACGTCATTACTTTGAGCGACAAAAAAGCAGCTATGCAACTGAACAAATAACTGGTTGGGTTACAAGGTCTCCAAAGGTATTATAAAACCTTCCCAAAACGCATGTACCTCATAAGAGAACTCCCAATTCCAAAGAACGAAGAATCGCAGCAAAGAGTCGTTGGTCTGTTCGCCTCCTACTCACAGTGGATACTGGAGTTTTCATCCTTTGGTTAAAAACAAAATATTTCCGTCTATGGACTGTGTTCAAACAGCATTTGAAAATCTTAAGTAAGAATCAGAGAACGCGATGGCCATTACTGTCGACCATGACATCCCTCTCGTAAGCGAGAACAAAAACCCTGCCGTCGAGAAATAAGTATATGCTATCGTCGAATGGATCCGAAAGTTGGAGACTGATTACAGATCAACGTTCGGTCGCCTTTATGTACGGGAACTAACAGACGGGTAAAATAAAAAAGACAAGATTGAATGGCGGAAAATCGAATTGGCAGGGCACAACGACAAAGTCGTCTACAGACCAGGTAAGGACAACCGCGTTGCTGGTGCCCTATCTCGTAAACTTTGTGCCAACATTGTTGGGACGGAAAAATTTCAAGAACTTCACAACATATTATGTCATCCCGGGGTCACCAGATTTGCTCATTTTGTTCGTTCTAGGAAGTATACTTCTTCAGTCAGCGGTAGCTGACGCGTATTTTGTAACTATTCCATATGCCTCGAACTCAAACCAAAATTTGTGACACTTTTTGTGGCCAGCTTGTCAAAGCCACACAACCTTTTGAACGCCTTAGTATCGACGTTAAAGGTCTACTTCCCTCAAACACTCGTAACAAGTACCTCCTAAAGTTAGTTCACCAGTACTCTCGATTCCCTTTTGCTTATCCTTGCGCTGATATGTTCTCTTCCACTGTGATTCGTTGTTGGTGCCAACTGTTTTCACTTTTTGGTGGGCCTGCTTATATCCACTCAGACCACGGTTCTGCTTCATGTCAAATGAACTCAAACAATTTTTGTTTGGTAAAGACGTTGCCACCAGTCACACTGCTGCGTATAATCCACAATGTAATGGTCCGGATGAACGACTTAGTGGTACCCTTTGGAACACCATCTGCCTGGCCCTAAAATCACGCGGCCTGCCTGTCGCACATTGAGGGATTGTCCTTCTTCATGCTCTCTACTGTATCAGATCCCTGTTATGTACTAGTATCAACTGTACCCCAGATGAACGTTTCATGCAGTTCACAGAAAGATCAGCCAACAGTGCCTCCCTAATACCTGGCTTATTGTCCCTGGGCCGGTCCTTTTAAAACGCTATGAACGAGCCTCTAAATATGACCCTCTGACAGAGGAAGTGAAACTCGTCTCTTGTGTCCACAGTACGCCCAAACAGCTCGGCCAGATGGCAAACACGAAACCGT